CGGAAACATTTTGATACTTTTACTGTAACCATTTTATCACCAATTCTGGTCAATTATTCTAGAACAAATCTAATTTAATATTAAACTTTATGGATATTTTGGACCACATCCATAGTTACCCTAGTCATTATGAGTGAATTATATTTCACTCCTGATTTTTGCGTAAAAGACTATGAAGCAGTGGGATCAGTTATTTGTTTGTGGTTATATTAACCCAATCACTGCGTTTGGCAGCTTGACAAGTACCCAAATGAAACAGCCAAAAATGTATCAGCACAATTTGATCCAGTCCATTTCAGGACTGTACTGAGTTCAACCATGAGCTGTGTAACACATGCCAAATAACAGGTTGAGGAAGACCTGTTCGTAACTATTTATGAAGCAGCATTGTAAATGTTATTAATATAAAGATCTTCCTGCATACCACCCCAGACTGTACTAGTAATAGCTAAAGTATTTCTATGGAGAGATAGGCAGGCTAAGTTTAGAACTGGAAACTGTAGCAGATTAATGGAGCATCTCAATTACACACACAGCTGGATCTCTCTAAACACCATCCACTGCCCACAAAAAGAAGCAGATTGAGGCTACAGCACTGAAATATTGCTAACCTCAATCTAAACACAAAGGGCATGAACAGAGATAAACATGGTTATATTATATCATTATAACCGCAGTATAACCAGCAGGGCTGAATTTACCCTCCTTGCTGCCCCGAGGCCAATGTCCTCAACAATACCCACTCTCCAGATAGATAGATAGGTAGATAGATATAAATACACACACAAAAAGTTGGGGTATTCGATTAAATGCATTAATGCGACTAGTTTGTGGTAAGAATGACTGGTGAATGTGACTAGGTTGGTGGTCGGATGATAAGTGGGACAAAGATGAGAGCGGGCGTATGTTTGTGGAGATGCTACTTGTGGGGTTGCATGTGTGGGGTGGCTGCTTGTTGCATTGCTTGTTTCTAGAGATGTTGCTTATGGGGTTTGCTGCTTATGGGGTTGTGTATGTAGGGCTGCGGGTGTGGGGGGGAAGAATGCCTTTAGGATTGTGGGATTGTGTCTGTGTGCATGGAGCAGTTTGTGGTGGTGTATGTTTGTGTCCATGTAAATAGGGGCTGAAACGGATCACCTGGCACCCCGACTGGGTACCTCCGTTGAAGGATGCTCCTAGCGCTTCCTGAGGGCTCCAAGCACTCCAGCCGACACCATAACCACCGTAGACTCCTTCAGAGAGCAAAACAGGAACAAGCTCTTACAAGAGCTTAGTAGTGATATAGCAAGGGAGTATGACTAGCATAGCAATACCTTGTAGCAGATTCCCCCAATAAGAGACGGCACTCCAGTGAGGGTGAAGTAGAACTGAAGCTTTTAATCAAACACTCTGCTTTTATGCCTATTTTACAAACATAGTACTGCCCACAGGGTTTTAAAGAACAAACCATTTAATACATTACAACACAGCTAAACACTCCCATTCATACCAGCAGAAATCCTCCCCTCTGCCTGAGATACAATTACTGAACACAATGGGCTAACGTAATTATCACAGGCAAGAAAATACACAGTTTTACACAATATTCATAACTTTAAAAGTATACATCACATTCACATAAAACTTACATTTTCAGAATCAGCATACTCCAAATACAAACAAGTGTCCAAATCATACAAATTTGTCGAGTGGTTCAAAAGATAGATGGAAGACCTATTTGACCGACTGCAAGCATGGCTTGGGTGTAGTAAGCCAACTATCTCCAGCATTCAGAAAATATCTCCATTTACAACAACCGCAAAAACACACAATAATACATCATTCCTATCATACTGAACAGAACCCCCACATTCAACCTATCCCCAGATAGCTTGGATCTTAATGCTCACTATATCCGAACAGCGCTCAGATCCCACAAACACAGTCAAATCACCATGGGGTTAAAGTTTAGCAATAAGTTCCAACTGGTCTGGCAGTATCCCTGGGACAACGCCCTGCTGGAGAACAATAGACAGGAAACGGGGGAGGGGCACACCTTCTCATGTTTTCAAAGGGGCAGAAAAAGTGTTTCAAAATCCAGTAAGCCCAAATAATGCTTACACAGGGCAACGTCTCACAGGGGCCATAGTCAGAAGGCAGGAGGCGGGCAAACAGGCTTCTCCAATGCCCAGTGATGAGGTTGGTCCCACCACTCTTCTCCCCTTTCCCAACAAGACTAACAAGACTGTCGGTCAGTGCCTTGGTTAGTCCAGCAACCCACCCACAAAACATAATCAGCAGCCCAACAGCCCACCCACAATAAATAGTTACTGCACCCGGGGTAATGTGTAGCTTGCCTTTGTCCAGGGGCTCCCCCACGGCTGTGTGGGGTACTGGCACTCTGGGTTGCTGAGTGGGCAGAGACCGCGGTACTCTGCCCTGGTGCCAGCGCTTCAGCTGGAGTAGCCTGGTTGGTGCCTTAGCTGGGCAGAGGGGGTAGTATGCTCCTCTCCCTGGAACCGGTGCTGTGGTGGGAGGGGGAGACCAACTGTCTCCTCTTCCAATAAATGGTCCTGCTGCTGGTGGTCTGGCCAGGCTGCCCTGCATCCCTGTGGTTCAGGTACAGAGGTCACTCACCGTCTGTGTCATCTGGGAGACTAGGGTCTCCCCTTTGGTTAATAAGCTGCCGCTGGGGAGAGGTGGTAACAGGCTCTTCTCCCTGAACCATATACTGCCGCTGGGGAGGGGAACTGATGGTCTCCACTCCCAATACATTGTCCTGCTGCTGGGGAGTGACTGTCTCTGCTCCCTGTAGGACACTCTCCTGCTGGGGAGTAGGACCGACTGTCCCCACTCCCTGTAGTTTGGGCGTGGAGACCACGGTCCCATCTGCACCGGTGGATAGTGTATTGTCTCCCCTTTGTGTAATAAGTTGCTGCTGGGGAGGGGGAATGAGGCTCTCCCCTCCTAGTATAGGACACTGCCTCTGGGGAGAGGGGGAAACAGGCTCCCCTCCCTGACAATCTCTCTGCTGTTGAAGAGGGAGACTGACTGTCTCCCCTTTCCATAATTTGTCCTGTCGCTGGGAAGAGAGACCGACTGTCTCTGCTCCCTGTAGGACACTCTGCCGCTGGGGAGGGAGGAAGCTGCTCTTCGCTCCCAGTGAAACACACTGCCGCTGGAGATCTGGGCCGACTGCCCAGCATCCCTGTATGGCCGGTAGAGAGACCGCGGTCCCAGGGGCTTTATGTGGAGAGCAGATATTGTGTGTATTAATGTGTGTGTGTGTTGTTATAAATAGGGTCTGTAGAGTGGTGGTAAACAGCACCAGGGGACACACAATGATGCAGATAAAGTTTAAATAATTTCACAAATGTGACTGTGGACTTGCATTGTTTGCTGGGTCCATTTCCTCAGACAATACTTTAACTCTTTTGGGCACCCTGTAAATGTATGCTTTATTTTTATTCTATTTGTTTTTTATTTTCTAATTAGCATCTTTTCCACCTCCATGCTACCAAGCCCAGATTAACCAATCTCGGTCAGACACTACACAGCTTGGATGGGATTTAGAGAATGGAAGAGGTGAGTGTTTACCTTATAAACCAGCTTCAATAAGAGCCAACTCATGGGGTTTTTACTGCACTATTGAAAATTCAGGTTTATTGCCCCTTGTGCTGCCACATTTTTGCATGTGTGTTCCAGAGCAAAATTACCCATTAGGTAACCTTAGATGGACACCTAGTGACCAGGGGTTAGCAAGTGGCAAAGAACCATTCATTTATTTTCTCCATTCACCCTCCCTATGTGAAGAATGAATAGTGATCACAAACATGCCCAAGGCCCTGTAACATTCTGATTTCTTCTAAAGAAAAAAAAAAAAAGTAAAATAAGACCAGCGGGTGTCTTTCTTTCTGATTCACTGTACTGTGATTCCGCATTCCAAGCAATACAACCACTCCAAACATTTGAATATAGGTATGCGGGTTATGTTACAAGGGATGGGTAATCATGGGGATAATGGAGTCTAGTAATGAGTAATATGGGGATGTAAATGAAGGGAGTGACCAGGGGCGGACTGAGAGCCTTTGGGGCCCCCGGGCAAAATTAGATCCCAGGCCCTTTGAAGGCCAAATATATGTGCATTAAATAAATGTTAAATATAACTCATAATACGGCATTCCTTTGGATGTGTATATTGTGAAGACCTGTGTATCAATGCATGTTTGTATTTGAGTCTGTGTGAATGCACTTGTGCATGTCTGGATAACTACATGAGCTTTTTTTGTATATAGTGTCAGTGTGAATGCATATGTGACAGGTGACAGAGTGTGTGAGGAAGAAGGTGACAGGTGGAAGAGTGTGGGAGGTTGTGACAGGTGGCAGAGTGAGGGGGTACCTGGTGGCAGAGTGAGGGAGGGGGTGGTTGAGTGGTGGCAGAGTGAGGGGGTAGACACAGTGAGGGGGGGTGACTGGTGACAGAGTGCGGGAGTGGGTGACTAGTGACAGAGGGAGGGAGAGGGGGTGACTAGTGACAGAGTGAGGGAATGGGTAACTAGTGGCAGAGTGAGGGAGGGAAGAGATGACTAGTGGCAAAGTGAGGGAGGGAAGGGATGACTGGTGACAGAGTGAGGGGATGACTTGTGACAGAGTGACTAGTGAGGGAGTGACTAGTGACAGAGTGAGGGAGTGACTAGTGACAGAGGGAGGGGGTGACTAGTGACAGAGGGAGGGAGGGGGTGACTGTCACTAGTCACCCCATCCCTCTCTCTGTCACTTGTCACTGCCTCCCTAACTCTGTCACTGTGTCACCCGCTCCCTCACTCTGTCACTAGTCACCCCCTCACTCTGTCACTGTGTAACGCCCTCCCTCACTCTGTCACTAGTCACCCCCTCCCTTACTCTGTCACTAATCACCCCCTCTGTCCCTAGTCACTCCCTCCCTAACTGTCACTGTGAGGGAAGGAAAGGGTGACTGGTGACAGAGTGAGGGGATGACTGGTGACAGAGTGAGGGAAGGGATGACTAGTGGCAGAGTGAGGGAAGGAAGGGATGACTGGTGACAGAGTGAGAGAGGGGGTGACTAGTGACAGAGTGAGAGAGGGGGTGACTAGTGACAGAGTGAGGGAGGGAGTGGGTGACTAGTGACAGAGTGAAGGAGGTGGTGACTGTCACTAGTCACCCCATCCCTCCCTCTGTCACTAATCACCCCCTCCCTCACTCTGTCACTAGTCACACCCTCCCTCACTCTGTCACTAGTCACCCCCTTCCTCACTGTCACTAGTCACATCGTCCCTCTCTCTGTCACTAGTCACACTCTCCCTCACTGTCACTAGAGTGAGGGGGTGACTAGTGACAGAGTGAGGGGGTGACAGGTGACAGAGTGAGGGAAGGGGTGACTAGTGGCAGAGTGAGGGAAGGAAGGGGTGACTGGTGACAGAGTGAGGGGATGACTGGTGACATAGTGAGGGAGGGAGTGGGTGACTAGTGACAGAGGGAGGGGGTGACACAGTGACAGAGTGAGGGAGGTGATGACTGTCACTAGTCACCACCTCCCTCACTCTGTCCCTAGTCACCCCTCCCTCTGTCACTAGTCACCCCCTTCCTCACTCTGTCACTAGTCACCCCTTCCCTCCCTAACTCTGTCACTAGTCACTACTTCCCTCCCTCACTCTGTCACTAGTCACCCCCTCCCTCACTCTGTCACTAGTCACACCCTCCCTCACTCTGTGACTAGTGGAAGAGTGAGGAAAGGAAGGGGTGACTAGTGACAGAGTGAGGGAGGTGGTGACTGTCACTAGTCACTACCTCCCTCACTCTGTCACTAGTCACCACCTCCCTCTGACACTACTCCGTCCCTCCTTCTGTCACTTGTCACCCCCTCCATCCCTTACTGTCACTAGTCACCCCCTCTCTCACTGTCACCAGTCATCCCCTCACTCTGTCACCAGTCATCCGCTCACTCTGTCACCAGTAACCCCTTCCTTCCCTCACTCTGCCACTAGTCACCCCTTCCCTCACTCTGTCACCAGTCATCCCCTCACTCTAGTGTCAGAGTGAGGGAGAGGGTGACTAGTGACAGAGTGAGGGGGTGATTACTGACAGAGTGAGGGAGAAAATGGGTGACTAGCGACAGAGTGAGGGAGGGGTGACTAGTGACAGAGGGGGTGACTAGTGACAGAATGAGGGAGGGGGTGACTAGTGACAGAGTGAGGGAGATGGTGACTAGTGACAGAGTGAGGGAGGTGGTGACTGTCACTAGTCACACCCTCCCTAACTCTGTCACTAGTCATCCCCTCACTCTGTCACTAGTCACCCCCTCCCTCTGTCACTAGTCACTCCCTCCCTAACTCTGTCACTAGTCATCCCCTCACTCTGTCACTAGTCACCCCCTCCCTCTGTCACTAGTCACTCCCTCCTTAACTCTGTCACTAGTCATCCCCACCCTCACTCTGTCACTAGTCACCCCCTCCCTCTGTCACTAGTCACCCTCTCCCTCACTCTGTCACTAGAGTGAGTGGGTGACTAGTGACAGAGTGAGACTAGTGACTAGTGACAGGGGGGTGACTAGTGACAGGGGGGTGATTAGTGACGGGGGGTGACTAGTGACAGTGGGGGGGTGATTAGTGACGGGGGGTGACTAGTGACAGTGGGGGGTGACTAGTGACAGTGAGGGGGTGATTAGTGACACGGGGGTGACTAGTGACACGGGGGGTGACTAGTGACGGGGGTGACTAGTAGTGGGGAGTGACTAGTGACACAGTGAGTCAGTGGGGGTGACTACTGACGGGGAGGACTAGTGACGGGGAGTGACTAGTGACGGGGGGTGACTAGTGACGGGGTGACTAGTGACATCAGTAGGGGGTGACTAGTAGGGGGTGACTAGTGACATTGGGGACTAGTGACAGTGACTAGTGACGGGGGGTGATTAGTGACAGTGGGGGTAACGAGTGACGGGGGGGTGATTAGTGACAGTGGGGGGTGAATAGTGACACAGTGGGGGGGGTGACTATATCCTACCTGTCTCTCTGCTTCCTCTTCTGTCCCTGGCTGCTGCTCCTTCCCGCTGTTGGGCTCTGTGTGAGAGGAGTACACAGGAAGTGCTGTCACTTCCTGGCCCCGCCTCTCCCCATCACACACAGAGCACCGCGGGACAGGGAGAAGGAGACCTGGCAGAGAGCTGGTAAAACTGCCAGGTCTCATGGGAGGGGAGGGGAGGGGAAGGGGTGACTTGCAGAGCGGTAGGTTGTGGGGGCCCCGCTCTCCATCAGGGGCCCCACAACCTATCAATTAAATAGTTTTATTTTATTATTTTTTGGTTCCAGTTGGAGAGATCTCTGATCTCTCCAGCTGGAGCATTACTGTGCGGCCGGGCCCCTGACTGTCTCGGGCCCTCGGTCTATGACCGAAGTGCCGAGTGGTCAGTCCGCCCCTGGGAGTGACAATAACACAGAGGGTGATGGGGACAATGGATGGAATAAAACGCCTTTGTAAATATAGAGAGAGTGTTTGGGGCAATATCTAAGAAAAATGTGCCCTTTTGTTTTCATGGAGAAGGTTGGCTGGGACTATGTAGCAATGACTATACTATGTAAATGGAATGGGTGGTACTGAATGATGGCTGTTGACAACGGTTATATTAATAGGGGAGGGGGGAGGTAAATACAAGTATCCGGTCACACCTGATGGTTTCTTTTTAAAAGGCAGTCTTTATTTGAAACACAGAAATGTCAATACTTCACAAAAGAGAAGGAGCTGAAAGAATCTGCCACATTGCATTGGAGAAGCCTGGTTGCTCGCCTGCTGCCTCTGGACTATGGCCCCCTTTTAAAAGACTTTATTTCGCCTGGAGAAAAGCTGTATTTGTGCTTTTCTGCCAGTTGTTCGGTAGATTCAATCTACCGAACAACTGCACGAATGAAAAGACCACCTGGGAGCTGGAGTGTGCCGGCAATTAACCTACCTGAAGCTGCGGTTAACCGCAGCTTAATTGACGAATGCTGGGTGGCCGCCATTCGTATCCCGAACACGAGGTCGCGGCCATTTTAAACATACGAATGCACAGCGGTGTTCGCCTCTATTTTCATGGAACTAAAATCGGACACAGTTTTGCGCGAACACCGCTGAAGCCGCCGACCTCCCTTCTTGTTCGGTGGAAGTGCACGAACGGCCCGGTGTTTGGTAGTTTTGGTTGAATGTGTTATACCCCAGATAGGAATCCCATGGAGCCCATTCGTATGAAACTGACTGTAAAGACTTTGGCTCCATGGCGATTAAACTGGTATTCGTGTGGTCTGAGCGCCATTCGCTTAATAATGTGCGCTCAGACCTGAGCTATCTGGGGATATGTTACATGTCTGTGTTTTATGTAATAAATGTTACTTTATGTATTTTAAAGTATAATACTGGTTTTGTATCCCCACATGTGTAATGAAGTTTTGCCTTTGTCTTGGGAGATAATTTAATTACTTCCCAATTATCTCCCAGGGCAGAGGGAAGGAAGCCAGGATGCATTGTGGGAATATATTGTGACTGTGTGTCCTATTTGTCTACTTGTCTGTCTTTTGTCACAGTCTCCCATTTGGTTCTCTAGGGGAGTGTCCACCAGGTGAGAGACCTGCATAAATACTGGGCAGGTAGCCCTCATTAAACAGACCACTGCTTGACCCTCAACACGGAGCTCTGTCTCGTCTTTGGGGGGGGATTTACTGTATGCTGCTAAGGACTGATTGCCAGGAGTGTAAGCCGCTTGGGAGCTTTTCCTGTTCGTCTGGTAGCAGCAATTCGTATGGTTCCTGTTCGTGTATTTGGAGTGCTACCTTATTCCCTTGTATGCCGTTCGGGAGTTTGGAGCATTCACTTGTATGCAGTTCGAGTGTTTGGACCATTCCCTTGTATGCAGTTCGAGTGTTTGGAGCATTCCCTTGTATGCCGTTCAGGAGTTTGGAGCATTCACTTGTATTCAGTTCGTGAGTTTTGGTGATTCTACAGTAGCTGTGCCTGTCTCTGAAAGGGGATTATCGTCTAAGCGTTTTTTTTCCCTTTTGTGCAAAACGGTCTGTTACAGAACATATTGTTTTTCATAACTGTTTCTTTAAGCAATAAGCTGAGTGCATGTGTTTCGGCCATTTTGTCCCAGATGAATTACAATAACAATAATGCATAAACAAGCTTCAAGGCTATGCTAGGACTCTTTCAGTACACAATATACTGTGGTAACCCCAAGTTAATGGAACTTCCCCAAATCCGGGAATCTCCCACGACTGTACACTTACGACTTAGTATAAACAACAGATAATCTATTCAGACTTTAAGATGCCATCTTGAACTAAGTCAGGAAAATTTCCATGACGTTTGCACCCTTTAGTTATGGCCTTGTATGTTTGCCAAGTTAAGGGAGGTCCTAAAATGAATAAAGTAAAAGAAGTGTTACTTTTCATATTTGAACTACGGTAACTCTAAAATGGAGACACCTAAGGTATAAATAGGTGTACTTTTAAATGTTAAGACACAGAGGAGAGACTTGGAGACAGACGCTGCTCCATCTTAAAATGACAGAGAGGCTGACATGATGACATGTTCAGAAGGGTATGTTAACCTATTAATGATATTTGCAAGCATGTCATTTAATCTTATAAACTCTGCTATAATGGATTTTATATTTTTATATAATAAATATCCAAAAGACAAAACTATTGCTTCCAAGACAATCCTTATTTTATATTGTGTTCTCAATTATTTATATTTGTTAAATAGAGGATCTCTTACTAACTATATACAATTATGGCTAAGATATCTGTATGGTTAGCCCTACTAAGTTCTACGCTTTAAGACATTATAGTGGTAAATAAGGGAACCACCAGCGGTTACACCAATACTGGTGGGTTCTACACTAATTTTAACTTGGGAGATTAGCATGCTTCTTTAGAGACGCTCTTTAATTTGCTTTCCTGTTGTCACCTCCGAAGGGGCACCTATAGTGGATGGGTGGGGTGCTCAACCAAATAGGAATCTGGTATGGATTCCAAATCTACACAGAAAAAAAAAGTGAATTGGGCTGCTGTAAAGACCAATATATATATATAAAATACAGTCTCAGCAAACAAACATTGGGGTTCAATTACACCATGTCACCATGTGAGGCCAGACAATGGAGGGGGGGGTGTCAAATCAGTGACTGTGTGTGTCTGTCAATGAATTTTTAAGAGAAAGGTAGTGTTTACTTTCATTCTAAAAATATATGGTATGTTCATGGCCACAAAAAAAAATAAATAAAAAAATAATAATAAAATATTTAATAAAATAAACTGATGTATTGCATAAAACATCTGGTGTGTCACACTTAGAGTTTATTCATTCTCTGCATAAGTTAAATGCCCATGACGTTTTTGTTCTAGTCTTCATGTATTAACATATTCCTGACTCCCCTTTTTTCCCCAAACAGCGCTGGTCTCGCCTTGGCTGGCTCTGCTTTCATGGCTTATATTATCAATCTCAATGGTTTCAACCAATCCAATGCTTTCCCATAGGAATGGACAGCAAAATGCAGCACTGTGCCAATCAGCATCTCCTCATGGAGATGCGTTGAATCAACGCATCTCTGTGGGAAACATTTGGAGCCTCTATGCAGATCATTGAGATGCTAAATGCCAGTGTGCAGCACTGAGATAGGGAGGGCCTCCAGTAGCCGTCTCAGTGACACTAAAGGTGTTGCTAGGCACCAATGTAAACACTACCTTTTCTCTTAAAAGGCAGCATTTACATTAAAAAGCATGTAGGGACCTGCTGTAGACCAGGGGGTAACCATGCTTTTTAGTGTCATGATCTACTTTTTAAATGACCAGCTACCTACTAAAAAAAAAAACACACACACCTTTTCTTACATACAGTAAAAGCCTTATTGTGACTACTGCACGTGTCGCATTGAATTAATCTAAAAAAAAAAAAAAAAAAATCCCTTGTCATCCCCTTCAACAAAACCTCTGTCACCCCCTTCTACGAAAACCCTGCCCTCTTCCACTAAACCCCTGCCCCCTTCTACTAAACCCATCCCACCTTCTACAAAACCCCTGTCCACTCTATTTACACAATCCTGGTCCAACTTCTACAAAACACGTCACCCTCTTTTACAAACCCCTGTCACCCCCCTCTACAGTAGTATCCATTAAAAAAAATAAAAAAATTAAGCAAGCAGACTCTCCACTCACAATTGATGAAGGTTTGCTTGTTGCTTCCTGCTGCTGACAGACTCTGGCCTCAAAGCTCCATCGCCCGCACCCTGTGTCAGAGCAGATCCTTTAGTTGCCTAGAAACATTAAAGGAAGGTGGAGCATGTCGACATCAGTGTGGCGTTGCGCGCCTTCATGCTCCTTCACAGGATCAAGCAGTGCGGCTGCAAGGATTTTTTTCTGCACAGGTGAAGACGCATTTTGACACCCCCCCCAAAATTCACCTACACCTGTATGTCTACTAACCCTACTTTTGCCCATCTTACCTATACTTTTGCCTGTTTGTGCATCTTGCATTTTTGTTTTAGGTTTTCCTTTTTTTTAAATTGGATACCCTGTTTGTCATTATTTTCATGCTTTTGAAAATCCCACCTTTTGTGGCCTCTAAACCCCCTTATGGCTTTTGTTCCGCTTCTGAATGTATTTCTCCCTTTAATGTATCTTATCTCTTTTGTCACCTTTGTTCTCTTCCCCCCCTTTGTGTATCTCTCCCCCCTCTGAATTTCTTACTCCTCTCTGTAGTGTGTGTGTGTGTGTGTATGTGTGTATGTTTGTGTATGTATGTGTAAACATCAATACATAGGAAAGGAACACACACACTCACTCACACGCTGGTTCTTACACACACACACAGAAGTTCACACACTGGTTCTTACACATACACACTGGTTCTTACACATACACACCGGCTCTTGCACACACACACACACGCACTGCTCTTACACTGTAATATTTTTAAACAACTTGCCAAATAGATTAAAAATAAAGACTGCTCACTGGTTTAAGATGACAGGCTTGGAGAAATTGTATCGTTGCCATGATGAAGTTTACTACTAAAATGGAACTTAGGTGATAATCCAATTTATTTGGGAGAATCCAGAAGAGTAGTAAAGTCCAATCCAGGTCGTTAGCAGTGAGGCAATAGAATGGGTGATCCAAAAGCAAGGTTAAAGTCCAATCCGGTCTGGCAGCAATTAATCAGTCCAAAAGGGGAATCCAGAAGAAGTGTCAGATCCAGTCCGGGTTGGCATCAGGTAACCGAAGCAGAGGGAAAATCCTAGAGAATAGTAAAAGTCCAATCCAGTCTGGCAATAAAGAATAAATTCAAAGGGAAAATAGAAAAGTTAAGTCCAGTCCAAGTCAGCAACAAGTGGCAATGGAGTAAGAGTTCAGTCCGGTTTAGCAACGTGGATATCAAACGGAGTATAAAGGGCTTTAAGTTTTAAGGGGAATTAGAAAGGTTATTTGGGCTGGGAATAACAGCACCTACAGAGCAAAGATAGATGTCAGTTGCACACTGGTGAAGTGACACATTAATTGTGCACTGGGATATTAATATTAGGCTTGGGTAGAAAAATCTATCCCTAAAAAGTGGCGAAAATGGTAAGGGTGGAAAATAGCGGAAAAGACAGAGAGAGGCATAGAAGAAAATGGCAAAAAACTGTAGGTGAGAAGTCCTACACGTACCAGGAGATCTAAGAATACAGAATATAACTATAAGTAATAAGAAAATGGTATAGAAAGAGCAAAGGTCTATGTATAATTGAGGATAGGGGCAGCAAGAGAGAAAAAAGTATAGATCAAGGGAGAATTCAAGAAAAGTGGAAAAGAGACTGTGAGAGATGATGGTATAGGTAACAATAGAGATAGACTTGAGCAGAAGAATTGAAGGAATATGAACTGGAAGCTGCTTTAGTAATGCAAGATTTTTAGTTAAATAGACACAATGCACCATAACCACTGCAGCTCACCATACCTATATGAACTAGGCTGATGTATTTCTAGTAGCTGATTTTTTTTAAAACGAGGTCATTAAACACAATCCGTTTTTCCTGTAGTTTGCCGAACTTTAAATTGCATTCCTCTGCGGTCCTTGCATTCTGGGGCTGTGCGTGCGGGACCTGTCATCCCTTCATTTGTTCTTGAGGACCTCTTGTTTAAAGCAGCTCCTAACATTACATCAGCCTACTGGTGATATTGAACTAATTGCTGTATATAAGGATTGTAGCCTTAGGACTTCTGCATTTTTTTATTTTTTTATTTGGATTTTTGGATTTGTTTTTTAATTTTTTTTAAAGAAATCAGTGGAAAATACAAAATTTAGTCTAATGAACTGCTTGTCATTGCTGGAGGGATTCCAGGACTTTAGAGTTTAAAAAGATTAGAAGCGTTGTGTGCACCTTCCTTCAAACTCAAAGATAGATTCCTGCGATTTGATATGATTAAGGGGGTAGCAGCCTGTTTTGTATATATATTGTATTTCTCTGTAAGAAACTTCTTTGTATGTCTTTTGGCACATTTTCTGAGTATGCTCATTTGGCGATGGTTGAGGTTGTAACTAGTGTTTAAATTTTTGTTTGAATGGAATTGTGGAGATATAATTTGATATTCTAGACAAACATTTGTACTTTCATCCAACCTTGTGCCAATATATTTATCAATATTTATAAATAAAGGTAAAACATATAAAAAAAAAAACTTTTTCTGATTAATCTATATAACAGTGTGGTATTATTCTTTAGATTTTTACCATTATTCTCAGGCAGTCAAAGACTAGTGTCTACTGCGGTTAGATGGTATACTATTATTCAAATAATGTAAAGTTACAGCATGCTAAAAACAGTCATCTTAAACAACAATATAAAGGCGCTGCACTCTTATGATGCACAGTATTGTTTCCTCTGCTCCCTGTTTTTTTCAGCCAGCCATGTAGCGTTTGTAATGCGAAAGAAAGTTACTTGCACACTATCCCTAATCCCTAGGCACATTTAAATAACTGGAGGGATTTTTTTAGTATCACTCCAGTTGCTATTAAAGTGTAAGCTCCCCTGCCATGTCAAGACAAAAGCTTGTCAGTGAGTTGTACACTAACAATTCACCTTGCTGCTTTATGCTGAAAGGTAAAATCTCTAATGAGACAGAGAGGGTATTTTTCTAAACCTCTACACACTTATTAACTCTTAATAGGGAAAACACAGGGTGGGCGACAGCATTGGAGTAACGAGCACTTGAATCCTGTGTTCAAGTGCCCGTTACTCCTAGGCGGCAGCAACGACTAAAGTACATATCTGCCCCAATACGTAAAATAAAAGCAAAGAAAAAGTTACTTGCGCACAATCCCAAATCACTATACACATTTAAATAACTGAAGGTTTTTAGTAATGTTCCAATGGGCATTAAAGTGTAAGCTCACCTGCCACGTCAAGACAAAACACCTTAGGTGAGTACTACTCACTGGTAGATCATAGAGAGTAACATCAGGATCATGCTCATCGGCACCAACAGAACTGGCCTGCAGAGTTCCACAAGGATCCATCTTGTCTCCCATGCTATCATCGTCAGGCACATGGCCTATGGTATCACTGTTCTGCTGATGACACACAACTCTACTTCTCCTTTGCTCCAGATACCACAGACCCAACATGCCACATCAACAGTTGCTTAGCATATCTCAAAGAATGGATGAATGCTAGTTGGCTTAAAGTGAACCCGGACAAAACAGAGTTACTCTTGGTGAAGGGACCCCGGGCAACAAACATATCCCATGATCACCCAACTGACTTGGGGCTTGGAGGCTCTGAACTCATCAGTTTATCTAAGGTACGAAACCTCGGAGTGCTGATTGACTCTGGACTATCATTTAAACAGCATATTTCCTCCGTAATGAAATCTGCCAACTTTCATCTGAAAAACATAGCCAGGATACAACACTTAATTCCACCGGATGATATGCCAACATTAATCCATGCACTTGTATCATCTTGGTCTTACTGCAATGTACTTTACTTGGGCCTCCCAGAAAAATAAGTCCATCGCCTTCAGACTGTACAAAATGCAGCAGCCAGACTACTGACCAATTAAACTCGCTCTTGCCACATAACACCTGTTCTCCACTCCCTGCATTGACTTCCAATTAAATGGCAAATATATTTTAAAATTGGCCTGCTAACCTTCAAAGCCTTAAATAATCAAGGCCCACAGTACCTGAAAGAGCTCCTGACACCTTACTGTCCATCCCGTTCACTTCGGTCAGCCAACAAATCCTTCCTGTCAGTGCCAAGAATAAAGACAGACTCAGGTTCCAGGGCATTCAACCCCACTGCCCCTACCTTCTGAAACTCTTTACTGTGTGCAATCGGAGAGGCACCGTCCTTACAGACATTTTAAAAAAAGCTAAAGAGCCACCTCTTCCATCAGGCATTCAGTCCGCTCATCTGACCTTCAGAAACTTCTAACTTTTATGTCTTTATATTTGTATACTTGCAAAGTGCTTTGAGTCTCACAGGGAGAAAAGCGCTATAAAAAATCACAAATTTGTATATATTATTATTAATTAACCTTTATGCTGCTTTATGCTGAAAGGTACAATGTCTAATGAAACAGAGCGGGTTAATTTTCTAAACCCCTACACACTTATTAACTCTTAATAGGGAAGTCACTTTTTTCTTAGTTTTTTTTTTCTATGTATTGGGGCTGATGTGTACTATAGTCATTGCTGCCGTCTAGGTGTAGTGGGAGTTTGAGCACAGGGCTTAATTTTGCATGTTTGTATTTGCTTTTGTATTACACAGACATGTTACAGCGCTGGTGATTATAGTGTAACTTTAAGCTCCCCTTACAGAGGACCTTGCTCTTAAGCAGATCATTTTCCACTTCATCCACGGTTCTGTTTTTTTCCAGTTAATTTCCTCATTTGTTTCTCCGGTTACTCCACTCACTCATTTTTATTGTTAGCATGTTCTTATTCCCTTCCCTTTTTCACTACCTCCTTTTTCAGAAACCCCTCCCCTCCCCTCTCCTCACGTTGTCCCCATCCCACTTAGCATACTCTATATGTAACACTGGTTATGTCACCTTAACTCAGTCCATTCATAAGCTGGGAAACTTGAACCATGCTGACTCATGCTTATCAAAGGAAATTTGCAAACTCGTCCCACAATTCCAAGCTCCACCCCACGCATGATAATTTCTTCTTCCCAGTTATATTTAAACAGTGCAGACAGCATGCTGTACATGAGTAAAACTTGCAGCGATTGTCAGTGTAATAGACCTGCCTGGGACTATCAACTGGGGTGCTTCCATAGGTAAGAAACTGGCACACACTGCATTAAAAAAAAATCACAATAAGCTTGTTAACCTATTAAATACCAATGACAATCCATGCCATCATCACAATCTGATATTTACAGCTTAGAATCTCCTAGTGACCGATAAATCCGCTTTACAGAGCCTGTCTAATACTAAATAAGGAGGATATTCCATGAGGATCACATTGAGATGACGACAGACACTGGTTTGAACAGGCAATTCATTTGCATCTATAGCTCCAACTGAAAGAGTAGCGCAGTAGAATGTTAGACAAGACAGATATGACATAAAACAAGACATGTGAAATAAATATATATATATATATATATATATATATATATATACATATATATATATTTCACAAGGCGATAATGCCAGTGGCACTGTTTGAATTGAATTAATTATATATATGGTGTGTTTTTCACAAAATAGGGGCAAGCAAAAAGTAAAAAATAGGCCAAATTCGCTAATATGAAAAATATATGAAAGTTGATTTTGTTATGTCTGTTTTGACCTAAAAATGTGCTATTCTCTTGTCAGTTCTCCAGAATGTATTATTTAGTAAATTAATGATTTCGTAATCATTCTTTGTTATAGCTGCTCTCTACTTATTGTATGTAGAGGCTGACAAGCAAGTGACATAGTCAGACAGAATTAAAAAAAAAGAATATACAGAATGATACAATATAGCATACTCCTATTATGTGGGATTTGCTGTTACTCAATGTTTGGTATTGCTAACCTGTAACTTTCCGTTTGGTGTTTGAATTTCAATATGCATGATATTCTGAGATAAGAAAGCAATGTGGATATTGTAGTTCAACAGCAGCTAGAAGGCTATTGGTTAGTAGTGCGGGGTCAGGGATATTGGCCAGAGTTTGCTAACTCTTGGGTCCTGTTGTAGGCATGTTTCCCATGATGCTTAGACAGGCATAGTCTGAAGCAATGATCTTAAAAGAAGTTTAAATAAATAAGGATATTTATTTTATTATTTTTTTCATTATTTTGTTTGATTTAAAAAAAAAAGTATTTAATTATTTGTTGCATAAATTGGATTTCGATAAACATTTGAAAATATTCGTTTTTGCATGTTGTAGCCAAAACAAAACATATAAACATGCCGTGGATTCATTATGACAGCACTGTAAATGAATATGAATATTAAGTGGGACTGTCTTCTAAGCACCATAACCACTATATACCACTGAAGTATATACTACTTCGTCAGCCAATCATTGGCAGCCAATGAGTGAAACAAATGACACTCTCAGCAAATGATTTAGGTCCAATTAGAGACAATTGGTATTGCTAAAATGGAATGCAAACGTCCACTTTAATAATATCCTGAAAATTAGAAGTACTGCAGAAAACAAAAACAAAAAACGGTTGTACTGTTTAGTGTGAGATGGTACCAGAAGATTCTAAGCACCATAACCGCTACCGTAGTGGTTATGGTAATCAGACTACCATTTTCTTTTCCTATTTGATATTTTTATTTATTTTCATAAAATGGGAGAAGGATACAGAAACAAAAAGGGAAGGGAAGGGAGAGGATGGGTAAGATACTACATTTTTGATGTTCTTCAGGCAAAAGTTTAAGATCTAAAAATACAAGTATTACAATATAATTGGTAGAACCATTCTGTTTTGTATGTATCTGAAAGAGTTTTGTTTAATGAAACCGATATTACCATTTTGTTCTATTGCATACTTTTCCTAACGTTATATACACATTCCACACAGTGTTGGTGTAGAGAAGGAAAGAATATGCACATGTCATGCTGACTTTGGCAATGACATTGCATAGTGAATTGATTAAACCAGAGAAGAGACAAAAAGTGTGTGGAAGTAATATTTCTGTATGTACAATATACTGTTCTCTGCATCGATAGATTTATTGTAACACACATATATACCTAACAATACCTCCAAAACTTCTAGGACCGAAACGGTTCCAGTTTGGGAGCATGCAAAAACTTTAGGAACACATTGTATACTGCAAGTACTATATATTAAAGAAATGTACATCTGTTACACCTATACATACACGATGCATTTGCAAAATGCTCTATACACCTAGATGTTATCTGCTAAACACACATATGCAAAGTCACGTAGCCAGCCAGTATTTACGATTTTGCTTCATGACCAGAAAAACGTGCCGCCAAGTGGTCATGTGACCAGGTGTGGTTGCATGCCCCTGTGTGTAAGATAACCATTACTAAGAACACTGTATGTGCCAAGCTAAATACAGCAGGCAAAGGAGTATTCTGTTAAACTGTGTGTGTTACTGATAACTTTGGCAGCTTTTTCTTAACAAGAAAACTGCAGATTTTCAGATACCCTGAAACTGGGGATGGCCAATAAGTAGAATTCTAGCCTATCATCAGTCAAAGCATCATGGGAGTTGTAGTCCTATAAGAGTGCTCAGGTGTTCCTCAGATGAACTCACACTCACAGATATAGAGATAGGATTGCTGAGCTTGTGCCAGTAAAAATCCTGCATTATTGGGTTATGTATAACTTTCAGTCTGCACACCTCAGCGATAGATCTTGATGGCTGTTTCCGTTATGGTCAGGAAGATGACATTTATCTTCGATAAATTTACTGGTGTTTGCTTCGATTAAAAACCTTTATTTACTCCACCTCCTCTGACATTATCCAACGTCGGGAAGTAATGCGCATGCTCTGCGAGCGCATTAGGCCCTCCTTGAATGCTTTCATATAGGGATTTTACTGCTGCTGCATGTCCTCATGCAGAGCGTTAGGATGTCCAGTGTCAGTTAGGAGACCAAAAGTCTACTAGAGGCTGTCTTAGTGCTGCAATGTAAACATTGCAGTTTCTCTAAAACTGCACTGTTTTACATTGCAGGACTAAGGGCAATAGGGACACTGTACCCAGACCACTTCAAAGAGCTGAAGTGCCGGCAAAAACTGCAGATTTGCACCTTTACTGCACTACATCATCGCCCAATAGTGCCCAGGCACAACTATTTGCACTAGGACATCTACACAGTGATGTCCCAGGAGCACGTGTGTCAGGGCATTCCTGCAGAAGTGCCCACAGACTCGTGCACCTGGCACAGCACTTCAGGGATTCATGTAAATTACTAAATAAAAAAATAAAACTACTGAGATTTTTCGGTTAACGGAAAGCACATCCCAAAATTTTCACCTACTTTTTGGGTTGTGCAAAAATCCAGGTATAATTCCACTTTGTGTCAGTAAGAGATTGTGCACAAATTGCAAATTACTTTAAAATGAGTTGATAGATTACATATAAAACCAGAAATTATTTTTAAATATTAATTGGAAGCCTCTATGAATACATAACAGTGGAAAATTCTAGAAAAGATGGTTAAACTGATGTAATAAATTAGAATGCGCTGAGTCACTGTACTATACTAAATTCTCTGTTACAGCTTTCTATCAAGGAATCCCAGAATGTATAATAGTTTATTACTAGAATACTGGGCAATTCTTAAAAAAGAGAATCTGCGTTTGTTCTTGAGTTCTTAAGTAGACGGCTAAACACAGAACATTTTTCAGGAAAGCGTTTTGCATACAATGTATAATGCTCTGGATGTCATGCTTGTAAATTCTGAAATGTTCTAGCAACTAATATCTGTATGCATAAAATAAGAGTATTCATGTTTTGGATTTAGAAATTACATACATATAAGTCAATTCTATATTGTTTTTGCTAATGTCTGTGGGGAAAAAATGCATATCATTTGCTAGTGCTAGAGCAGGGGTTCTCAACCCAGTCCTCAGGACCCCCCACCAGTCCAGGATTTGGGGATTACCTGGGTGTGTCTCAGGTGTTTATAAAAAGGGAAAAAAAACACCTTAGACTCTAAGGTGTTTTTTCTTTTCTTTTTCTAAACACCTTAGACACACCCAGGTAATCCCTAAACCCTGGACTGGTAGGGGGTCCTAAGGACTAACGTTGAGAACCCCTGTGCTAGAGCCTTCTAGAACTCTAACAGATACACAGCTCAAATTTACAAGATCCTTCCAAGTTACTGTATATTATTCAAATGTTTTGTGGTTTCCAGAAAGTAAACATAACACCTTACTGGAATATTGTAAAATGTATACATTAGAGAGCGTGTTTCTCTTTGCTGCTTAGCAACTGCAAGGAACTACATGCAGAACTCTGGGTAAAATGTAAAATGTTCTGTATGTGAGTCTACCTCTGGAGTTTTCTAGAATGTGACTCTGAGGGAAAAAATAACTCAAGAGAAATATAACTTAGTGAGGTACAGATTTGGGTCTGCTCGCTGTTATACACTAGAAATGCTGTAGTAAAAATTCAGATTATGTTATAAAATATTCTAGTAATAATTCCAAAGTGGATTGAATAGAGACTCCGTACATAGTTACTAGTTCTATAGAAATATGATCTACGACGTACATGAGGCAAACGCAGCATATCAAGACTGTAACTAGAGACAGAAATTACGTATATATACATAATAAATAATAAACACAATCTTTTTACAATTTTAGGGAATGTGTCTACAGAATCACTTTGGAAAGATATGTTTTTTTGCAAGTAATTTTTTCAAGGGATCCTAGAGGATTATAGTTATGAAATTAAGTAAATAAAGGAAAGTTACAGAATAGAAGTCCTTCTGGAATGTACTTGAAAAGGGAACATAATCAAAACATTGGCATACTGTAGCAATGAACTTTAGACAGCATGCTTGTAATAACTTTTAGTCATCCATGTCAAACATTAATTATTCTGATTAAATGAAGTAAAAGGTCAGGTGAAAAGAGAATGATTAACACTTATTACAAATACTATACCCGCAATAAAAACAATATTATACTCTGCTCATAAATTCAATACTCTCCTCATGAGCTCCAAATGCTATAGAAGGACACAAAAATGTCTTATAGCAACTTCTCAAAGTTTTCTGCCCCCAATCCATCTATTCCATTACTACATCTACATAATATAGTTTTGGTAATGTGTTAGAAAACTATGTTGTCATTTTCATCTCAATTTTTTTCCGTTCACAAGAGTTTTCAAAACTTCCTTTAACCCCTTAAGGACACATGACATGTGTGACATGTCATGATTCCCTTTTATTCCAGAAGTTTGGTCCTTAAGGGGTTAAAGGGACTCTCCAGGCAGAGGATTTTACTCACCTGGTTCCAGCGCCGGGAGCCTCGTGAAGCCGGGCGCGAGCAGGGAGCAATCAGACGCTTCCATTTGCACATGCGCATTCATGCCGCCCTCTGAAGTCCATGCATGTGGTGTGCACGGCTGCGAGCTGAGCTGACTGACAGCTCAGCTCGCGGTCTTTGCCCGCCCCCTCTCCTCTGCTGACAGGCAGAACAGAGAAGGCGCGCACACAGTGCCTTCTCTCTCCTGCACACGTCAGACATATTTTAATATGTCTGACGTGTACAAGGCCTTTTTAGGGCCCTACATGATAGGAAGTCCCTCTGGTGGCCGTCTGAGTGACAGCCACTGGAGGTATTCCTATCAATCAATGTAAACATTGTATTTTCTTTGAAAATACAGTGTCTACATTAGATTGCCTGCAGGGAGCTATAGATCATACCTGAACAAAAACATTAAGCTGTAGTTGTTCAGGTGACTATAGTGTCCCTTTAAGGTTTAAGTACTTTAACCTCCAGGTTTTTGGTGGAGTGATCAGTCTGGGTGAAATGGTGTCAAACAGGGGGCAGTATTTGCGTTACTTGCATTTTTTTGACTGAGTGACTGTGCCGGTTCATCCTGGGGAGATTTTCTCCATTTTAGCAATCTTTGTCACATGTTGTACCCTCCCGTGCTCATGACCTGGGAAAGGGGGGGAGGGAGGGCAAACATTTACAAGAAAAAATTGGAGAACATCATATAAAGGAGGAACTCTCTTATCACACACAAGTTATGCTGAGTAATACTACAGTGAATCTTCACACAAGGCCTGAAATAGTTCTGAAGTGGTTTGATTAGTACAGTTTACTATGTACTATCAAACTATCGGCTAGGAAGTGTACACTTTCAAATAACCTCAGAACACCTTTTACTTTCCTCTAGAACAGAGTTTCCCAAACTAGTCCTCAAGACCCACCAACAGTCCAGGTTTTGTTAGTATCTCCATTTAGAATAAAACTGGGAAATACATAAATCCTGGACTGTTGGTGGGCCACGAGGACTGGTTTGGGAACCACTGCTCTAGAAGACATTCGCTAAAATTCAAAATGGACACAAATAGAAATCAGAATTGCAAAATTCAAGCTAACATAGCCCAGTCGTAGTGATAGCGGAGTTTGAGATTTTTTTTCAGATATGGCATCAACGTTGCTTCCTTCAAGAATACGGTTGGCTGCCTCAATGCACACCATTGTGGGAAATGAAACCCACAAAAATCCACCTGCGCTAAGGTTCACCATCACTACAGTACAGTCTGCCATGTTGCCACACAAAATGTAACTAGCCAAAGATGGGCACTTTCAAAACAGACAGTGTCCTGTTAACAAATTTGCTTCCTGGTACATCCATTTTTTTTTTGTACTTTAGTAAAAACAATAAAATGAGTATTAATGCTAAAATAGTAAAGGGAAGATAATATACACAGAAAATATAAAAAGCATATAATACCTGTGTATTCTTAAGGTGAGATCAATAGATCTAAATGTGAATGTATTTGTTATGTGAATATATTGGCGTACCGATTTACATTTTTGTTTTCTAGAATTTTTTGTACATTTTATTTGTAGTCTCCTCTCTCATTGTAAAGTATTCTTGCAGTCCTCTCTTGCATTATATAGCAGTGCAAGAATCAAAGATGAACTTCAGTTTTACAGCAATCATGGAAAAGTGCAACATAAAATGCTATCTGATCTTTGAAGTTATGCTTTATTTAGTTATGTATTTTTTTTAAGTTTAATACTTTGCAATCAGGTTTAAAAAAGTGTGAGACAGCAGAGAAAAAATGTGACCTGAACTAGAATCATAACTAAGAAAAAAATGTGTGCAAAAGGTCAGCATAACTCCGAATACAGAACAAACATACAGCACACACACATATAATATACAGGAGATGCATTCTGGATAAATGCCTGAGCAAAGTGTGACACAAAGTCAGAGGAGCAAGACCGGCCAAGATAAGTCAATCAAGAAAGAAATACAATGCATTTCATGAATAGATCAGATCCCCTTCTGCCTTCGGGCCTGGGTGGTGGGTTCACTGGAGTGTGTCTCTAGCGGAAGTTGATTCTTTGTTTGGAGCACATTTCATTTGCGTTGCCTTGCCTTATCAAGCTTTATTGTCGGAAACATCACTCGCGAATATTATGCGATCGGCTGTCTGGTCGCATGTCAACATTTTTTGTGTTTTTTATTTCCATCCTTCTCATGCCTTTTTCTGTCTCTTAACGGAGCATTAAAACCGCAAACATGAAACCTCCTGTCACGTATTAAAATTGTAAAATATACTAGCTTTATTGTACCTACAGTCTTAATGATTTCTCTCCTTACCCGTCTCTGATGTCGGTAAGTTTGTCTATATTGGTTGGTAACTACCATTGATGTGTTGACTGTTATGTCATACTTTAGAATATTTGATATGTTGTGTGAATATGTAGTTATATAAATCGTATATCTTGTGTTGATATATACTTACGGGTTAATGTACTGTAATGATATGAATATATTCTAGTTTTAAATCTCATGTCCTTTTCTTAATTAACACTGTTTCGCCTCTTGCCTGGATTTGGCCTTGTTACTTCTTGATGGGGCTCACCTTCTGTTCCAGTTATTCTGTGTATTGATTCAGAGTTATTTATCATCCCAATCCTGTTTTTATACTTTTATCTATTTATGTTAATTGAAAGAGGAGGTGCTTTTGCAGGCTAGGGTATGTGTTGCCTCTCTACTGTTTTATGATTGGTTAATGTTTTTTTTTCCACTTCTGCTGCTATTGATTGAGTAGTAGAGAAAGATAAGAAAATATTCTCATCCTATCATTATTAAAATTTTAATTATAGGTAAAAGTAGCATAATCAACAATTTGGAACTGAAGTAACTCAACTGGAAGCCCAACTGATTTAGAGATTTCTTTTTTCCAGTTTGCTACTTTGTCCCTAAATTTTAAATGAATTTGGTAAATAATCCCAACAGTGTTATTTCAAATATGCAAGAGCACTCACATGGATTATTAAGAGTAAACCAATCATACTGTTAAGAAAATATATGTTTCAAAATATATTTGTTTTAGGCTTCCTAGAAACAGACAGGCATGTTTTTTATTTTTTTTCTAGTTTAGACATGTATTATGATTATCCAATTATGTAATCACAATAGCTGGCATGACATTGGCATTATGCCGGCAGCACCATTTGTGTAAGTAGAGGGCATGGCATTTGAATAGAGGCGCATTGTAAGCAGCATGGCAGGTTGAGACAATGAATAGTAGAAACGTTTGAATGACAGTGAAATATAAGATTGCACCCACTTCAGAAGGCATGGAATTTGTTCACTCCCTTCCAGATGCACATCCCAGCCAGCCAAGTTGAATCCATTAATTATATAGACAGGCCAAGGCACATCTTAAGGTACTGGAAGGATTTATCCCAATATATTATTGTTATATTTGCTTACAGCCAAAGTAGTGAAAACTGATAATCTAAACATGAATTATGTGTTGAAAATGGTTCCATCTGCCACAGCTGTGCTATCGATTGTGCCCAACTATCTTATATATTGACTGATCTAGCTGCCTAGAACGTTGTACAACATCTTAACCCCAGCAACCACTGTCTAGTTACCTCCAGTATCATGCGGAGTACATAAGTTCACAAGCATTCAAGATAAGAGACTATGTGCATAGCTCAAGTCTACACAATTGTTCCAGTGAGATCACCACATATAATAAACAATACAGATGGATTTAGTGGTATCATGAAGATAAACAAAGTTTAATCAATAACCAAATGCCTATTTTCTTCTGTAATTACAGACCATTGGACCTGCCCAGTGCCAAGATGCCTGCGGGATTAAAACTGCACTTCACAAGCAAACAAACTCCTATCCCAGTGGTTGTTATAGGTAAGCTTTTATGTCTGATGAATTACTGCCATTTGGCATTAACGGAACTCAAACAGCGAGCAGGAGTAATTTTCCTATAGCAAAGCACAATTTTTAGGGAACAACATTGACAGAAAATCCATTACTAAATCCTTATTTTACCAGGAAGCAGATTTCATGAGCCTAGTGACAAAGGAGAAATGTTTAGAGATTGATTGAGTACTTCGTTAATGTAATTAGTCCTTTAATAAAGAGGAAGAGGTAGTATTGATAGATGCCAGTCAATGACTGATACCAATTTACTAGGAGCTGATTGGCGTAAATTACAGTTGTAGAGCAAGGTTCTTCAAATGTGTTTCAGGCCAGAAAGTCATGTATTCCATACTTTAGAACAGATGTCTACCATTAACACACGTGTTCAAGCAGGAATGCTGTTATTTACAGTACTGTTGAATATGTTGGAGATTTGTAGATTAGCTGGAGGTGGCCTAAGAAACAAATAGTTGCAACAAGACGAGCTGGATGTACAGGATTAGATGGTGGCGAGGCCCCTGCTCAAAGAAGCTTACCATGAAATTCCTGTTTGATGAATCTTCTTGAGAAGAATTCTGGGCTCGAGGATATACATATCTAGTTTAGGGACAGACTGAAGTGTCTTATGTGCTGAGAGAATGGCATGGAGGGACTAGATTTGTAAGTGAATCACTCTATTATGGAGGTTGACCTAGATCTTAGTGCTGAAATGTCTTTCAAAACAAGGAAGAGTGTTTTATGAACATATTAAAATAATTCTTGTAAATTCTGTTACGAAATCCACCATTCTCCATTTGCTACAAAGAATTGTGTTTGTGAACATACAAGAACATGTTATAACGTCCCACAGTTCTGTTATGAAATCCTTATTACGTCAGTGTTTGAAGCCTTGCCTATCGTGAGTTCATCTCTGCTTGCCAGAGTCCGAAAAGTAACTATGCAGGATCTTAGTGGGGCTAATAGAGCCTAGTTCAGCCAGCAATTTTATATATATATATTTGGAATAAACCAAACACCATAACCTCAATAGCACCCTGAGTGCTCCTCCAGTGGAAGTAGTGAAATAATTGAGGAGGCCTGTGCACTGCAAAAACATTTGGCTTGGCATTATAATTTTTCCAGAAAAATAAAAAAATAGATACCTTTCAGGACACCCAAATTTCTGGTGAAAGTCAGCTTGGCTCAGCATGAAAGAATATCAGTGCTAGAAAACTGTTTCAGCAACCGAACCAGACAAACCAAAACATCTAAAAAATTGGACAATCCGTGTAATCCAAATTTTATATATATATATATATATATATATATATATATATATATATTTCCACAATCCCAGCAATCTAGTTCCCGGTCTTTAATGATGCTCCGGTGCCAACTCCAGCCATAATATAGGAAAGAAGATGAGTGCACTCTGGGGACTGTAGTAGTAAAGTAGAAATGCTTTTATTTAGCACAAATAAACATCACTGTTTCAATCCTCCTTGACTGGTCTTGAGAAAAGTCCAGGAGGATTGAAACGTTGATGTTTATTTGTGCTAAATAAAAGCATTTCTGCTTTACTACTACAGTCTCCAGAGTGCACTCTTTCATAATATATATATATATGAAACTATTGGACAATAGAGGTGCCCCAGTAAACAAGATTGTTTTAAATGGAATATTTATAAAACGTGTACTTCTTTTTTGGTTTTGGAACTCACAATGTTTTTTTGTATTAGGTAATGGTCCATCAGGAATCTGCCTCTCTTATCTGTTGTCTGGTTACACCCCATATATAAGGGAAGGAGCTGAACATCCGAACCCAATTCTGCAAAGGAAGCTGGTGGAATCCCCAGGAACTGCTATTACCATGCAGGTTTGTCTAAATCCATGGATTCTTTATATGCACCTACAGGCATTTTTTTTTTTTTTTTTACAGTAGACATCAGCTGTGTATTATATAAAACAAAATTATTATAATGCTCTGAGGAAGAGAAAGGTGACCATTCTGGTGAACATAAGGAGTACCGAGGAACAGAACTTTGCTGCATGCCGCACTATTAGGTAGCATGGCAGAATTGTATTTAATATTTGGATGTGCATCATATGCTTTATTGGTGACCCTATAGAGTACCAGCAGCACACCATGAGTGGAGAGGAGGGTACGCTTCCGGACGTATCCTCCACTCTCTATCAGTGGAGGGGTCATCAAGTTTTCCATTGGGCTCAAGGTGTTTCTAGAACCTAGCCACCCTCCTGGATACACCCATCATAGAATATCCGGAATCATTCACATATGCAGACTTTGATTAATGCATAGCTAATGGTAAATCACACTAATACATGCACATAAAAAAATACAAAAAATGGTTCAGGCACTCCAGGATCCAGAAATGGCAATTTTATTGCAGCCCAAAGTAACACAACGTTTCGACCTTGCGGTCTTTGTCCAGCTATCAAATACATATATCACAGCAAATTATGTGACATTAATAAGGAAGTTACAGCTGTAACAGAAATCTCAGTCCAATAGAATATAGTAAAATGTTCAAATAAGAGAGAATTAATTAAATGAAATTTAATAGATAATTAGTCAATATAGTAACTAACCGTTAGATAAATTACTTTGGACTTCAATAAAATTGCCATTTCTGGATCTTGGAGTGCCTGAACCATTTTTTGTATTTCATGCTATTGCCAGTGGAACCTGGTGCTTGGTCCTGGTTTGGTTGCACCCCGGCTCAGATTCATGGGATTAAGTGCAGTTCCTCATGTTTATGGAACTAATACATGCAGTCTTTTAAAAAAATGTTTTAAAGCAACACATCATCCGCTAAAGCGTGTTAGCTACAATTGAAGTGCTTAAGGGGCTAACGTCTGTGCCCTTTGTCTTACTTTATAAATGTATACATTTATTTTTAATGTTGGAGTGTTCTTTTAAATATGAAATACTGAAACACAGAAAATGGACTGTTAAGCTGCTACACACTGTAAAATATCAAGAATGTCAACTTTTGATCTTTGCCAGAAGTATCAAACAGCATTCCACAGTGTCAGGAGACACATTTTTTTTTTTTTTTTAAAGTCCATTACTTTTTTGTGCAATCTGTGTGTTTTGAAATCTGTGAAAATGATTTCTGAAAAACTAGTAATTATCCCTCTGGGGAATTTTTTAACAACTCTGTAAGTAGCCTGCCTGTTCAAAAAGGATTCTATGTGATGTCTATTCACTAAAATGTGAATTGTGCAAGCTTAGACCTAAATGACAATATTTGGAATAAATAGCAAAGCTGTGGCTATAGCTGAATACAAGATTTTCTTTCACATTTCAGCTATTTTAGCCTTATTTTTACCTTTTGTTTGTTTCTCACCTAAAGACCACCCAGACCACACCCTCTCCCAACCAGGAAGCCACTCTATTAGCTATCTGAGTGACTACCACAAGATACCACGATAGGAGGCAATGTAAACACTGCCTTTTCTCAGAAAAGGCAGTGCTTACACTGCAGAGACTGCAAGGATGGTCCCTTTGCCCCAGAACCACTACTTCAAGTTGTGGTGGTTGTGGTGTTTAGGGTTTCTCTTTAACTACAGAAGGTTAGCTGGGTAGACCACAGCAATAGCAACTCAGTTAATACTTACGTCTGGTTTTATGTAGCTCTTGGAATGTCTCTTAGGGATTATCTGTGACTTTATTGGCTCTTTATCATTTACAGTTTATAATAAAAAACACCTGTGAGTCACAGAGCCAAGATTCTATAACACAAGGGATTTTTAAGAGCACGTAGAAGGATTGAGAGTAACAGCACATGAATAGACTTACAGTCTCAGCACTACAGTACCCATATATTATTAAAGGAACACCCCTTCACCTGGACATATTTAATGCATGTTAGGCCTGTCTGGCTTTTGTAAGCAAGATGGTTGTTGCACAGCAACAGTTGCCAACAGGTGTGAAATAATAAATGCTTGACTTCAGCTTCCATTTTCTACAAGATATAGAGCAGATATTGCGTCTCAGACTCAGATTCCGTGGTAGAATTTGTGTTTGAAGCAGGAAATAATATAGTATTTACACACCCAAAAAAGCTTTATATGCTTAGGCGTCAATTCAGGGAAGGGCTGGCTACATTTGACCTGGGGGAATCCACACTGTCTCATTACAATCCACTCCCTAGCTTAATTTTATATTAAATGAACATTAAAGCTTTAGAAAAACAAACCTGTATTCCCGTCACTTTAGTATCCCTGCCCCTGGTTACATAAGTCGATCTCACTCTGTGTGTGCCCTATAATAAAATAATAAAAGAGCACTTTTTATTTTCCTTTTTCCAGTGCCAAGGCTCCCTCTGCATTGTTTACCTCTCGTCCCCACAGTATATGATTTAATTAATTATTTCCAAGTAACAGCCCCTAGAGGTCTGTTTAACCCTTCAAGGTAAACATTGACATTTCTGAAAAACAGCAATGTTTTACCTAGAATGGTTAAATTGACAGGACCACTGCACCCAGGCCAATTGAGATGGTGATCCGTTAATTGTTGTGAAGCAGGGTGGAGTGCTTTGGTTTTTAGCTTGTAGGTCCAACTACAATAGATAGAACTTAGCACTTTTCCTTTGTTAATGAATGGGAGCTCAAAGAGTGAATTAAATGTTTCAGCCTCTTCCAAGTTGCTGTCAATGTCCACGTCCCCATGATAAATTAATGGGAACTGCCTGCAATCGGAGTAACTCTTTAAGACGTTGTGAGATATTCATAGCCGAACTCAGCTGTTTGGAGTTGGTGACTATACAGTTACACTTACAACGATCTCTTTAGAGTTATAGATTTATATAATGCAGTCAATGGGCCAACTTATTTGATAATTTTAAGATATCATACCTGGATTAATCATAGGGCAATTAAAGGTTCCACGAAGGCAGGAGAGGTTTGACACAGGCCCAGTGGCTAAGAAAATACTTGACCAAGCTAAGTCCTGTTTATATATCCCTATGCTACGAGTGAAGTCAGAGACTAACCATCTTAGGGCACTGCGGAGTCTCAATCCAACGCTGAGCTTTGGCTAGGTCATTCAAATTAATTTCAGATTTATCTGGATTGGCTCCAATTTGCTACCAGGTTATTTCATAGGGCAATGATTTCTGTAAAAAAAAAAGTCAACTAGAATACTGCTTTCATCTTTTTTTCAATAATTTTGAAGATTGGAAATACCAAAAATTAAGCTTAGTGAGTGACCCACTATGATTAAGTTGTGATCTGGCACCTTCTAATCATAGACTAACCCTGAAAATCTTGACCATTAACCAGTGACTGGCCCTGCTTAACAAGTCAAGTTTCGAAAAATAAAAATGTTCCAGATTTTCTTTTCAGACCAGAAATAGTAGCCTGAATAATAATGTCACATAAATCCTAAACATGCATTGACTGAAAGTCATGCGATGCACAATGCCTCTAATTTACACATCCACTAAAAAACAAAATACAGCATAAAATCAATGGTTTTCACTTAACACAATATCTGTTTGCCATAAATCAGTTCGTCGCACTGTAATAATTTCATAATTGTCCAACATTCTGCAGATGGGCCTGTTTTCTTGTAGTAGAGAAAACAATTGGGTTTATTGAATAAACAGTGTTTGATCGTGGTGCATTGAAAACTAAACAGCAAAATTCAGACTAAAATAGCCAAGTTGTGACAAATCTACAAATTTTTTTCAAGGTTTTCAAAAGATTGTAATTCACTATTTATTGAATAAACCCTTATAAGTAAAAGTTAGCTATAGCCATGGGGTTCTTATAGTGAACTTGTCATGTAAATGACGATGACCTGGTGGAAATGCCACTAGTATATGGTGCTAGAAAAATTGCTTACAAATATATAGATAAAACGGCAGTATATGTCAAGAATTCTTCTAGACCAGTGCAAAAACTGATCCGTACTCTGTGCGGGCCAGGGCCGCAACACATGGCGCCAGGCACCTGCGACCGCGATATGTACACCAGTGCATGCAGATACACATACACTTAAAGGACCATTACAGACACCCAGATCACATGAGCTCAATTAAGTGGTCTGGGTGCCAGGTCCCTCTAGTTTTAACCCTGTAGCTGAAAACATAGCAGTTTCAGAGAAACTGCTATGTTTCACTGAGGGTTAATACAGCCTCTAGTGGCTGTCTCACGGACAGCCGCTAGAGATGCTTCCACAATTCTCACTCTGAAAATCACAGTGAGAAGACGCTGAACGTCCATAGGAAAGCATTGAGTAATGCTATGGGCGGTTTGAATGCGCGCGCGGCTCTTGAGAGGCGGATCGGTGCGGAGAGATCCCAAGCATCAAGGGAGTCCGGCGCGGGAGAAAGGTAAGTGCTTAAGACACACACACTCTCACGAACAGACGCATACACACTAGCTAACAGACACACACACTCAGTGACAGGCTTACATACACACTCACTGACAGACAGACACACACTCACTCACTCACAAAACACACACTCAGTAACAGACGCACACAAACTAACACACTCAGTAACAGACACAAACACACTAACACACTCTAACACTTACACACACTCTTACACACACACACACACACACTCTAACACTAACACACACTCACTAACACACACACTCACATGCTTTTTAAAAAAAAATTTCATCCCCCCAGCCTCTCTACCTTTTGGAGAGCTGAGGGGAATCCCTGGAGTCCAGTGGTGTCACGTGGCAGGCGCGCGAGGGAGCACTCTCCCCTGAGTGCTTCTTCTTCAGCTCCCTCGCGCGTTGCGTACTGATACCGGAACCGAAAGTTGACGTCATCTTCCGGCTCCGGCATCAGTACGCGGAGCGTGACAGAGCTGAAGAGGAAGCACTCAGGGGAGAGTGCTCCCTTGCACGCCCACCAGCCTGCCCGCCGGGTGACACCAGGGCCAGCCTCGCAGGGCCCTGAGGTGGCCTGCTCCTGGGCCCCCCCAGGAGAAGAGGCTGGCTACAGTGGGTACATACCGGGTCGTAGGGCGGCTGGGCCCAGTCACAGCCGCGACCCCTGCGACCCCAGTATGTAAGCCAGTGGTCCAGGATTTAAGGACTACTCAATTGTGTCTAAGGTGTTTTTGGAAAAAAAACAAAAAATACTTTAGACACAACAGGGTAATCCCTCAATCCTGGACTAGTAGGGGGTGCTTGAGGACTGGGTTGGGAACCCTTGTTCTAGACTATGTTGTCAGTAAAGTAGCAAACTTCAGTTGTATTATAGTTTACCTCCCAAGTCATAGATTGGGGCTTCTTTACCTTAGTGAAGCAGTGTTGCTGTATAGATCATGACCCTGCATGCCTCACTGCTCAATTCTCTGCCATTTAGGAGTTAAATAACATTGTTTATACAGTACTAGTCACACCTCCGTGCATGAGACTCACACAGCCTTTCTAAACACTTCCTGTAAAGAGTCATCTAATATTTATACTTCCTTTATTGCAAATTCTCTTTTTAATTTAGAATGTATCTATTACTCTGTTAATAGCTTGCTAGGCCATGTAGGAGCCTCCTCTGTATAATTAAAGTTCAATTTACAGAACTGGAGATAACAACTTTTAAAGTTAACATCTGAATGAAAATGAAATCATTTTGGTTTTCATGTGTTTTCATGCAGGCTGTGTCAGTCACAGCTAGGGAAGGTGTGGCTAGGGCTGCAAGGACAGAAACAAACGTGATTTAACTCCTAAATGGTACTGAATTGTGGAGTGAGACTTCAGGGGCATGATCTTTACACCAAAACTGGTTCATTAAGCTAAAGTTATTTTGGTGCTAATAGTGTCCCTTTAATTGCATAGTGAACAAATATCTATAATATTGTCTGTATTCCTTTATTAAAATTGGCATGGTAATGGGGAAGGGGAAAAGTTAGTCAGACAAAAGGATGATCCCAGTTTTGTGCCTCAAAGGCAAAGTGATATGTGGCTGTGGGATACTTTTTATATGACAATAGTAAGATGCTATTTCACACATCTTGGCACTGATGTCCAGTAATAGTTCTGCTTTCAGTAAGTGACAGAAGTGACCTTTTGCAGTACTTGCAGTGAATGATTGGAATGGCTCTTGGCATTTGTGACACAGGATCGTCTGGCCTAATTTCAAAATGTTTTATAAGAGTTTGCCCAGAACGTTATGATCTATTTTCAGACTCCCTTAAAGATTCTTTTGCTGTGGGTTACTATGCGTAACCCTTTCGGGGCCTGACACACCACAACACTTTTAATTTTCCCACATTTTTATCAAAGAATCATTACTTTAGTATTTTTCCCTTTTTAATAGTTTCTGCATTGAGAAATTATTTCCACTAAGAACATTTTGTCTTCTCAATGAGTCCTCTCTTTTGATTGTTGCTTCCCTTGTTTAGTTGAACTCAGTGTCACTTTTTAAAAGATTTTAAATTCGGCTGTTTGCTAGAAATTATCAGTATGTTGTTAGCAACTCAAAATACTAGATTTATGTTGTTATGTGACCTGGGCAGCATTATGAAATTGAGATTTTCTAGCATATCATACACATTGCATTGGTTACAAAGTGACACATAGAAACAGTTAATTGCAGCATAAATGACAAAATGTTGCCTGGTATTGTAGCTGTGCATGATGAGTAACCCTTTCTGTTTGCCTCCTGCAGGATCTGGAGTACCTGTCAGAGGGTTTGGAGGGCCGGTCCAGTAGTCCAGCTGCTCTCCTCTTTGACACACTGCTCCGGCCAGAGACAGATTTTTTAGGTGATGTGGATTCGGTTCTTAACTGGAAACTGGAGCCGGAGAAAGCAATCACTCACCTGGTGCTGGGGAGAGATCCCCCTGGAGGTGCCTGGAATGTAAGTGGACTGGTTAAATATTACTGCTTAAATCCAGAATGTCATGAGATGCACTACCTCTACTTTAATAGCCAGGATCGGATTATAGCCATGTGTATCACAGCTCTGAGCTTAACATTATGTGTTTTTATTTTAGGCCATTGAGGGATCTATGATCACACTCAGCCGTGGAGACTGGATGGGCCTCCCTGATTTGCCTTTCAAAGAATGGATACGCATGAAAAGGAGGTGAGTACTTTAAGCACACTCTCTCTTTTCTTGAATAATACACGTCACACAGTTAGGATCCTTAATGTCTTCATTCAAAATAATTTTCTATGATACATTTAAGAATACATATAGATTATGTGGTGCATTTTGTTGCTACAAGAATCCTCCAAAATGTCTATAATAAGAGCTTTAAGTAGAGGGAAAAATCACACAAACACCTGACCAATCAAATACGCTCTTCTGATTGGCTGCTTTAATCAACACACAGGTAGAATGTAGATAATGGTCATTGACCAGTATTAGTTTAAAATAATTTTCTTTTCTACAATTCCATGCACATATTACGTCATAGGCTTTGAGTTCTGCCCATGCTAGTAGGTAGTTTGACCAATCATGAGCTTCTAATTATGGACTGTGGAGTCCGAACTCTCAACTGTGTAACCCAGCACTGCAACTGTTTAACTCTTTTGCTGTTTAACTCTAGAAATGATACTGGTGATGGTCACAAGTACATAACTCACTTGATATCAAATTACATAACTCACTTAATATAAAATTGTCAAAATTCCTGTTTAACTACACACTGTGTAGGGGAGGATTGATGACTCAGCACAGCTTCTGTCCTGCGTAGAGCAGAGTTGTCTGGATCATGTAGTTCAGTTATCAGCTTTCAACTAATGGTACTTAGAAACCTTTGTTGTACTTCCTGGTGACATACAAATATGTCACCCAACAGAGAAGTCTGTTTCTCAAGAAATTTAGCAGGGGAAAAAAATAAGAATCGCTCACATTTTTGAGGTGGTAGTCATTCTATTGAAAATACCATTTTAAGATAGAAGGCATCAATATTTAAATTATTTTAAAAGTAAACAAAAAAAGCAGAAATTTCTAGTCCTCAGTAGAAGACTTTTTAAAATGTTTAGCATTCGCATGTAACAACTACCAGACACTTTCAACAAGACAAAATGCTACTTAAAGCAGCCGCATGTGACACTGTATGAGATGTGTGCATCCAAAAAACTTATTATTCCAGTAGGTGTATAGATTAAGCTAAGAGCATCTATGCAATAATAATGTGAACATGTTTAAGAACAGATGTGATAAAATTAAAACTCAATTTTCAATTGGGAATTTCAATTGGGACTGAAACTGGTTCCTTACTCCAAACTATCTTTAAGGACCGCTATAGGCACCCAGACCACTTCAGCTTAATGAGGTGGCCTGGGTGCCAGGTCCAGCTAGGGTTAACCCTTTTTTTTTTTTTTTATAAACATAGCAGTTTCAGAGAAACTGCTATGTTTATAATAGGGTTAATCCAACCTCCAGTTGCTGTCTCTTGACAGCCGCTAGAGGCACTTGCGTGCTTCTCACTGTGCCCTGAGAGTGCCCCCAACCTCAGGGAGGGGGGCCCTGAGGGTGGGGGCACCCTCAGGGCACTATAGTGCCAGGAAAACAAGTATGTTTTCCTGGCACTATAGTGCTCCTTTAATTTTCCAAGTGATAAATGTGGGAACTGAAAAAGCTACATAGAAATAGTGACTATTATGGTGGAATCATTTATTGCATGATTGAAATTAAAGATGTCCTTTTGAAATATCTGGTGGACGGTTATTGTGACACCATAGTTTGTTTTAGGGAATGCTAATAATGATCAGCTAGATCAGCTAGGGAGATGTAATACAGCATTCATTCTCCTAACAACCAGTTTGTTTTTTAATTCACTTGTAGGAATCTCAGAAATGATAGATCTACTGCAGGTGACATTCTGAATTATTACCGATATTACGTAAAAAAGAAGGGCCTTGAAGAAAATTTTGTATCTGGTACAATGGTCACATCAGTGGTCAAAGTTAACAGAAGTACTGTCAACTGTCGTGAGAATGAGATATTCCAGATGGAGGTCCCATATGCAGAGGACAGTGAAGAGGACAGAAGTATGTTCCAAGTGAATGGTTTTTTTGAAAATGAGTTTGGGACCAAGCAGGATTTTTGTGTCTATGCAGAGAAGGTGATACTTGCTACAGGTACCTATGACAGTCCATCATGGTTGGGGGTCCAAGGAGAAGACCTCCCATTTGTGTCACACCAAATTTCTGCCCTGGAGGAGGCAGTGAAGACACACCAAGTAAATCCACATTCAGACCCCGTTTTGATTATTGGGGCGGGTCTGACTGCTGCTGATGCTGTTTTGCTCGCTCATCACTACAACATTCCTGTCATCCATGCTTTCAGAAGGCGTGTTAATGACCCAGCTCTCATTTTCAACCAGTTGCCTCAAGTTATGTATCCAGAGTACCACAAAGTACATCAGATGATGAAAGAACAGTCAGTTTTCAAAGGTGGTCCTTACCACGGTTACATCAGCCTCCCTGAGCATTATGTAACAAGCTTCCATAGTGACAAGAAATGCAATTTTAAGGACAAACTTGGTCAGTGCAAAACATTTAATATCTCAATGGTCCTTATTCTCATTGGTTCTAACCCTAACCTTTCCTTTCTTCCAAATAATGGCACTATGTTGGCTATAGCCACCAATGAGCCAGTCAACTCCAAGAGGAACCCTCTGGATATTGATCTATTTACATATGAATGTATCCAGGAAAAGGGACTTTATGCAGTTGGGCCCCTGGCTGGAGACTATTTTGTGCGATTTGTACAAGGAGGTGCATTAGCTGTTGCAAGTTCCCTTATTAAATCTCAGAAGAGGCCTCCTTAATTATGACAATCACACATTCTTTGTTATACTCTAGGGGCTGAAGTTCAACTCAGCAGTCCCTACATCAGGCTCCTACAAAGAGCAAAAGCAGGGTTCTTAGACATTCCATCATGACAATTTGAATTGAAACCAGATTAAAAAAAACTGTCAAACAGCAAGGCTGGGTCAAGGGTGCTTTATAGTCCTACATTATGGGGGGCTGCAACACTACAAGTGAATGCTTCTTTTTTTAAAACATTATTAGCTTTAAAGTTTTGTCTAAAATAAAACAGAATCTACTTCCACAAATAACATCACATCTATTTTTCTATTGAAAAGAAAACACTTGTTTTTAAAGGTGTGTCTCATCAATAGAAGATCCTATGTATTTTGGGGGAGGAAAAATGGTTTATTACATTTTGCAGTTTACAAGTTAAAATTGTTGCTTATGCATCAAAAGGGCCAAACTAGTAGCATACTTTTTTTCCACGTAAGTTGGCTACTTTTGGAATAAATGGAAAATGGAAGTACAGTGCTCAATGTACCTTACATGGTAGCTGAGCGTCTGTTTGTTAGACAAGAAGTGTATCAGAGAAGGTGTAAAATCTACATCTACAACACTTGAACGATAGTTTTGCAACTATTAATACTTATTTACAACCACACTTTATTTTATGAAAGAACATATGTGAATCAACTTACCAGCAGAATATCCGAAAAGTCCTAGATAATGCACATTTGCCAATTAATATCAAATTAAGTTTATGTAGAGAAGGGAACGTTCAGTTATTGTCGCGGCCCCTGGCTCACGGCAAGGTGCGGTCGGGCCGACCGGCACGATCACACCGACTAACTGAGTTTACCTGCTCAGCAGCGAGTCGGGAGCCGCTCCGCCGGATATTCTGGAGCACCTGCCCTAAAGAAAAATGGCGCCGACCACGCGGTCGCGGCCATTTATAGCCCCGCCCCCAGACAAAGGTGTGTGTGATATCACAACGTCAACGCACATGCACGTCCTGCGGTCAGAGGTCACCATCTGACCAATCATAGTCAAAAGAGGGATATTTAAATCTCTGGAGCTACCCAGTGCGTTTTTTGTTCCTATTATTGCTTTTCCCTGTATATTGACCTTGGCTATTCCAGACTATTCTGATTTCTGGTTTCCCAGACTTGGCTTGTTTAATGGTATTGTGTATTTCTGGCTTCCTTGATCTCGGCTATACCTTGACCATTTTCTGTCTTTAACATATTAGTCCGGCCATTCTAAGGACCGGTTTCCGTTCTGTCTTTTTCCTTTCTGTTACATAGTTTTGCGTGCTGGACCACACTAGCAGTCATGACATTTATTTACAAAAGGGTGCACTTGCTAAAAATTCTAAGTGAATTCAAAGTTTCGGACAAACTATTAAATAAACTTTTAAATATAGTTGTTTTGGAGAATTTCGATTGTTTGCAATTTTGGACTATAATTTTAAAATTCAATTTGAATTCACAATTCAAACTTTAGTGAATAAACAGGTCTATGGTAATAGACTAATTATGTTTCCTTTGAAGACAGCAACTTAATAAAAACAGAAAAAAGTTAAACGGTAGCCTCATGCAATTTACAAAGAAAGTGTTATTAAAAATTAATACAAAGAGAAAATTACAATTCTCTTATAATTACTATTAAAATACAGATAGTGAGTCCTGTCAGCAGTTTATTTGATGTGTTATGCAACACTAAATCCAAAACAAACATTTTGCTGAAAGATATCGTAGTTGCCTGAAACAGAGACATCTTGACAGCTTATGGCCAAAAAGAAGATGTTAACAAAATGTTCAGGTTTTGTCGATGCATTAATTCATAAATGTTTTATAAACGTTTAACAGTAATACAGATGTCAAACTAATTAATGGAGATCTAACAGTTAACATTAGGAAAATAAGAGGGGTGTTTATAAACAGAATTGGTGGGATCAGCCTCAAAAGAGACAGATTGGCCAAAAATGTATTAAAACTGATTATGAATGTCCAGAACTAGATGCCATTCACCCCCATCGCTCCCCTCCACTAGAAGGTCAGAGCCTCATGTTAGACTCACCAAACATCATATACTACTAGAATATATTAACTACAAACCACAAAGTCTTGACAAGATACATGAAGTACTGTTTGAAAAAAATAACTTAAAGCTTGAAACATAAAATGTGGGTACAATATTAAACAGATAAAATAGCAACATAAAATGATAATGATTTGTTTTTTAAATTTTTCTGAAAAACCAACTGTATACTATTATTGGTAATGTTTACCATGCTGTTATGTAAAATGGAAATGTAAGTTATAAAAACAATTGTAACCTATTTTCCAAACACTTTGTATTTTTATATGAATATATTTTGCAACTGCAATAAAAACATTTTACAAAAATTACATGTGTTTTTTTTTTTTTACATATTTTTTGTTTGTTGCTTAAACGACTTAATATATATTTGTTCATAGTAAATCTATGGCAGACGTTCTCACAGGACGATCATAAATCCTGAAGTCTAGAATAAATGTAATGTCACTTAATGCTATTTTACTGTGTCAAAGGCCACGGTCACCTGAGTTGGAAATGTTGACATCAGCACAAATAAAGCACAAACATTACTACAGAGGTGGAGTCTAAAATGTAGAATGGAAATTGTTAAAGGTGTCACAAATACAAAATAAATCAAAAGCACTGTTTAGTAGATATACCCCAAATGAAACCGTACATGCATTAATTATGTATTTTTTTCATTGGGGAGTGGGAGCTTGCAACACTTGCAATTATTTTGTCTGCTGCCTTTGCAAGCTCTCCCCTTCAAATCACAAACTTCCCAATGCAGCTCAATAAGAAGTCTTTGTAAGGCAGGTGCTCTGGACAATTGCTGCCTCTTGAGGTCAGCTGCATTGAGCTATCGAAACCAGGAAGTAACATTAACTATTGTTTGCTGGAAAGCCAATGGGGGTGTAACCAGGTTAATTTATAAAAGTGTCAATTTCTATTGACTTTTGCAAAATGAAAAAAATAAAATAAGACACACTTCACACGTAAAACTTTTTAGCAAGCTGAAGTAGTTTAGGGGTCTGAAGTGACCCTTTGAACAATGATGTCTTTATATTTGTATTATTGTATCCATTGACAGCACTGCAGAATGTGATGGCGCTTTTTAAATAAAGTGCAATATTTATCATATATACACTATGCTTCTGATCTAATGATTCATTTTATCCTTTCTGTAACAAACAATGTAACACAATGTGCCCATTCCACTGACTGTTAAAAAGGATTGTAAGGGCTTAAAAAGTATAAAAGCAAAAATCCTGTTCTGAGTGATGTTCTCTAAGGCAGCAACGAAATGACAGTCCATGTGTCAAACAGGTTTAGATTTGTAAAATATGATTTACATAAAGAAACCACTAATAACCGCACAAGGAAACTCTGTGAATAAGAATGACAGCCTAGGGCGCTTTCTCCATATTCCTTTAAATACTAGTATTTATATTAGCCACAGACTCAATAGAATTCTCCACACGTGCAGTAAGATGTTTATATATGAACCTGAAAAGTTTATGCAATCACAAGCAAGTATAGCATTGAAATGATACTGACAAAATGTATATTCGTTCTACATATGCAGAGGCAGACTACCCATTAGGCAGCCAAGGCGACCACCTAGACCGTGGTGGGCCCCTGTCTGGGACTGGATCTCCAGCTATGTTTGTAAAAGAGGCCCTCCTTGAGACAGCAGGGAGATCAAAAAGATCTTCCTGCTCAGTCCAAAGCCCCGTTACCCACTCACAGGGGCATTGTGGTTTGTACCAAAAGCAGGTGCACTCCACTTTAGCTCTCTTGTTGTCCCCCCTCGCTACTCAATGACTCAGAGTGACATAGCTGGAACTGGACCACTATGAAAAGGTAAGAAGGAGGGTAACAGAAACACACACCCAGACACTACACACACAAAGGAACACACAGCCTCCCCCACATACAGCTCTCAGCCTCCTCCACACGCCACACACCCAATACACACACCTACACAAAAGCACACGCGTCCACCACATCCACCAGCCTCAAAAGAGACAGATTGGCCAAAAACTTATTAAAACTGATTATGAATGTCCAGAACTAGATGCCATTCACCCCTATCGCTCCCCTCCACTAGAGGGTCAGAGCCTCATGTCAGACTCACCAAATATCATGTACTACTAGAATATATTAACTACAAACCACAAAGTCTTGACAAGATACACCAAGTACTGTTTAAAAAAAAAAATCACTTAAAGCTTGAAACATAAAATGTGGGTACAATGTTAAACAGATAAAATAGCAACATAAAATGATAATTATTTGTTTTTTACATTTTTCTGAAAAACCAAGTGTATAATATTATTGGTAATGTTTACCATGCTGTTATGTAAAATGGAAGTCTTTGTAAGGCAGGTGCTCTGGACAATTGAGCTGCATTGAGCTTTCGAAACCAGGAAGTAACATTAACTGTTGTTTGCTGGAAAGCCAAGGGGGTGTAACCAGGTTAATTTGTAAAAGTGTCAATTTCTATTGACTTTTGCAAAATGAAAAAAAAAAATAAGACACTCTTCACACATAAAATTTTAGTAGTTTAGGGGTCTGAAGTGACCCTTTGAACAATGATGTCTTTATATTTGTATTACTGTATCCATTGACAGCTCTGCAGAATGTGATGGCGCTTTTTAAATAAAGTGCAATATTTATCATATACAGTTGCAAGAAAAAGTATGTGAACCCTTTGGAATGATATGGATTTCTGCACAAATTGGTCATAAAATGTGATCTGATCATCATCTAAGTCACAACAATAGACAATCACAGTCTGCTTAAACTAATAACACACAAAGAATGAAATGTTGCCATGTTTTTATTGAACACACCATGTAAACATTCACAGTGCAGGTGGGAAAAGTATGTGAACCCCTAGACTAATGACATCTCCAAGAGCTAATTGGAGTGAATGTCAGCCAACTGGAGTCCAATCAATGAGATGAGATTGGAGGTGTTGGTTACAGCTGCCCTGCCCTATAAAAAACACACACCAGTTCTGGGTTTGCTTTTCACAAGAAGCATTGCCTGATGTGAATGATGCCTCGCACAAAAGAGCTCTCAGAAGACCTACGATTAAGAATTGTTGACTTGCATAAAGTTGGAAAGGGTTATAAAAGTATCTCCAAAAGCCTTGCTGTTCATCAGTCCATGGTAAGACAAATTGTCTATAAATGGAGAAAGTTCAGCACTGCTGCTACTCTCCCTAGGAGTGGCCGTCCTGTAAAGATGACTGCAAGAGCACAGCGCAGATTGCTCAATGAGGTGAAGAAGAATCCTAGAGTGTCAGCTAAATACTTACAAAAGTCACTGGCAAATGCGAACATCCCTGTTAGCGAATCTACAATACGTAAAACACTAAATAAGAATGGATTTCATGGGAGGATACCACAGAGGAAGCCACTGCTGTCAAAACAAAACATTGCTGCATGTTTACTGTTTGCACAAGAGCACCTGGATGTTCCACAGCAGTACTGACAAAATATTCTGTGGACAGATGAAACCAATGTTGAGTTGTTTGGAAGAAACACACAACACTATGTGTGGCGAAAAAAAGGCACAGCACACCAACATCAAAACCTCATCCCAACTGTGAAGTATGGTGGTGGGGGCATCATGGTTTGGGGCTGCTTTGCTGTGTCAGGGCCTGGACAGATTGCTATCATCGAAGGCAAAATGAATTCCCAAGTTTATCAAGACATTTTGCAGGAGAACTTAAGGCCATCTGTCTACCAGCTGAAGCGCAACAGAAGATGGATGTTGCAACAGGACAATGACCTAAAGCATAGAAGTAAATCAACAACAGAATGGCTTAAATAGAAGAAAATACGCCTTCTGAAGTGGACCAGTCAGAGTCCTGACCTCAACCCGATTGAGATGCTGTGGCATGACCTCAAGAAAGCGATTCACACCAGACATCCCAAGAATATTGCTGAACTGAAACAGTTCTGTAAAGAGGAATGGTCAAGAATTACTCCTGACCGTTGTGCACGTCTGATCTGCAACTACAGGAAATGTTTGGTTGAAGTTATTGCTGCCAAAGGAGGTTCAACCAGTTATTAAATCCAAGGGTTCACATACTTTTTCCACCTGCACTGTGAATGTTTACATAGTGTGTTCAATAAAAACATGGCAACATTTCATTCTTTGTGTGTTATTAGTTTAAGCAGACTGTGATTGTCTATTGTTGTGACTTAGATGATGATCAGATCACATTTTATGACCAATTTGTGCAGAAATCCATATCATTCCAAAGGGTTCACATACCTTTTCTTGCAACTGTATACACTATGCTTCTGATATAATGATTCATTTTATCCTTTCTGTAACAAACAATGTAACACAATGTGCCCATTCCACTGACTGTTAAAAAGGATTGTAAGGGCTTAAAAAGCATAAAAGCAAAAATCCTGTTCTGATTGATGTTCTCTAAGGCAGCAGCGAAACGACAGTCCATGTGTAAAACAGGTTTAGATTTGTAAAATATGATTTACATAAATAAACCACTAATAACTGCACAAGGAAACTCTGTGAATAAGAATGACAGTACCAGGGCATTAGGAGGGGGCCACAATCTGTCTTAACAGGGTGCGCTTAACACATTAAACATGGATTAACAAGAAAAGATAGCTTATAAACAAGATCGCACACCTAATACACAGACTTTCTCCATTATAGATTCATGTTGCATTCATACAGCACAGCCCTTGCCCTCGCCAAACATTCATACTTTTCCTCTCTCATTAGTTCATGCTCCCGCAATCCCAGACATCTCTTTGACACCTTTAATTCCCTTCTCCGCCCTGCTGTGGCCACCCCCAAACTAACCTTACAGCTGATAGCTTTGCATGCTACTTTACTGACTAGATTGAACAGCTAAGGAAACAATTCTCCCCTCCTTGCCATTCTCTTTCTCAACCACACATAAATCATGCCTTCCCTACCCTTCAGACTTTCTCCCCGGCTACTGAACAAGAGGTGGCTGAGGTGGCTAATGTGTCTTATACCCCACCGCCTATAGACTGTAAGCTCGTTTGAGCAGGGTCCTCTTCAACCTATTGTTCCTGTAAGTTTTATTGTAATTGTCCTATTTATAGTTACATCGCCCCCCTCTCATAATATTGTAAAGCGCTACGGAATCTGTTGGCGCTATATAAATGGCAATAATAATAATAATAATAATGTATTCCCCTGCTAAAGTTAGATAGAGAGACCTAAATTAGACCTAAATTAGACCTAAATCTGCATGTTTTAATTATATTTTCTGTATTGCCATGTGTAATATCTATTTTTACAATATGTTAAACTATACTTTTTGTGAGAGTATTGGTGTAGACCACCTTGTGTGGATGTGTTTCCTGACCAAGATTGGTTGATGAGGCAAAAATGGCACTGGATTATCACTATTCTGGATGATTTGAATGTGATTGTCTCCTCAGTTGCCTGTCTGCCCTATGTATACCACCTAGGAAAAAACTTCAACACTTCTCGAATCAAAGCCCTATACCACATTTTATCCAATACCATGGTATTCTTCTGTCTTACTTATAGACCTTCTCAACGTCTACTTCCAGCATTTGTTTAGAAATTGTGCATAGCAACACATGGATTCAATGTTGGCTCACACTCAAATTAAACATGGCAAAGAGGTGACTGTATACATAATAACAATAAAAATCCCCCTGTTAATGCTACTTACACTGATTGTCACCATCAGGACATTTTAAAAATGGGGATCCTAGTTTACAGCAACTTACTTTAGCATCTACATAAAACACAAGGCTGTATTTCTGATTATAGCTCCCTCTGCCTCCTGTCACGGAATCGTGCCCCAACACGCAGGAAGAGTGGAAACCCACAAAAGGTGGATCCGAAAGATGTATTACTAAGGATTACAGAGTGGACGGACTTAACATATTAATATAGCGAGAAACAAGGTCAGGGTAAGCCAAGGTCAAGCATACAGAAATACACCGAGTATGTACAAAGCCATGTCAGGATACCAGAAAATCACGAGTCAAATATGTACAAAGCCGGGTCAGGAAACCAGAAAATCACGAATCAAATATGCTGCCGGGTCAGGATACCAAGAATCACAAGTCAAATACAAAGCCGGTTCAGGATACCAGAAATCACAAGTCAAATATGAACCGAGGTCAATATCAGGAATATAACAAGAGAGACTTTCTCTTAGCACTAAAGTGTATCAGGAGAGAAACCATGATAGGGCAATGAGTAAGGACAAGAACAGGCCGTAAATAGTCTCAAAAGAGTTCCCTTTGGTCCATGTCATCTCAGCAGAGGGAGCCGTTCGCGGGACCCAAAACATTAAAAATCAGTCCTGCAGAGGACTGCAGTAATGCAGCGACATGGTGTGTTCTGCCTGTCTGGCCCGAGGAAAGTAGTGGCGTGGACGCCAGCCACAGGTAAGTTTGTGATACCTCCTGGCCTCTGCCCTCGCTGGGGTAGACAGCCACTAGAGGCTGTCCTAGTGCTGCAATGTAAACAAGTGCAAGATGGACACTGTACCCAGACCACTTCAATGAGCTGAAGTCGTCTGGGTGCCTATATTGTCCTTTTAATAAAGAAATATTCCTTGTGAACAAAAGGTATTCACAGTGCATTTAAATAAAAAAATATATTTTTAAGAAGGAAAAAATAGCCTAATACAACTCCAGCTTGGCTCTCAAATAAAATGACAATGTTTCTAGAGTTTGTTCGATATTTTATTTCATATCAGGTTGCAGCTATGCATGGGAAGGAATAGGTTTGGAGGTTGAAATCTCTGTTTAAAACTGGGTCAGAAGTGTATCCCATACCTGGTTGAATATATACAATATATTTTGTGCAGATGCTGCTAATCTTAGTATAACACATTTAACACATTAAAATGTTTCCAAAAACATTTTCAAAATATAAGCAAGTCAACCTTAAAGGACCACTATAGGCAACCAGACCACTTAAGCTCAATGAAGTGGTTTGGGTGCCAGGTCCCTCTTCTTACTGACAGCCGCTAAAGGCGCTTCCGTGATTCTTACTGTGAAAATGCCGTGCATGTGCAATTGGCGCTGATGTCAGCAGTGGAAGGAGAGGTCACCAGCGCTGAGGGAGCCTGGTTGTGCTGGAGAAATAAAAGTGGCTGAAGGGGTTTTAACTCCTTCAGCCCAGCAGGAGGGGGAGGGTGGGCTAAGGGTGGGG